GCATCATAGCAGCCCCCCCACCCCCACCCCCCGCACTGAAATGGGCAAAACAGAAGCAGAAGGTGGTTCTTAAAGAGACAGAGGCCAATTTCAAGACGTTTAGAAGAAGAAGTGATGAGAAGATAAGTTTACTTTCTATTTAAACATAAAAACAGCATTTTAATAACAACTAAAGGTGACATGGATACTTTATTATGGTATAGTATTTAAATATATGCCTGAGAAACACATAATATTGGCCCTTTAAGACATTTTTCTAACAGACAGAAACAGAAACTCGAACACAAACATGAGAAAAACATCCTCCTCCCTGGTGTGGAAAATAGCAAACAGCATGTGAAAAACCTCAGTAACTGAGATGTAAAGTATAAATACCTTTTCTCATGAGAATGTTCTGATATGCTGGAGGCTCTTTGCTCTGTGGACATAAACACCAGGATAAAGTTGTTCAAGCATGGTGGATAAAAAAACACAAATGCGCAAAGAAAAAACATACAAGGAATAAAATGAGAAACTCTACATCATATTTTAGAACTATTCTACAGCTACAACTAAAAACGGTCAGCTTCCATTTAGAGATGAAACTTTTCTGCTGTTTGAACGATTTTAACTTCATCAAATCAAGAAAGTTCATAAAACGTCCACAGATTAAAACGCTGAGTGACTCATTTGTCTGTTTGCTCTCTGTTTGTATCAAAACTTTAGATTCAGTTTTCAAACTGCAAACTGAAAGCTAAGTTTGATGCTGAGGTGTATTTCAATCTGCCCCTTTTTACCCAACACTTTTTACAACTATCTATACTGTAATTTCTCACAAGTTTTTTCTGTTCATACGAGATTCAGTTCAGATTATTGTTTACAGGTGTAACAAAAATAAATGAATAGTGTTAGATTTTAATGTTTATAGCTTCATAAATAAAGGGAAGAAACTGCTTTGTCTATGAGTGTGTGTGTCCATTTGTACCATTTTGTTAAAAAAAGGAAAATCTTACAAAGGTCACTGAAATAAGTGACAAATGTAAAAAATTGAAAAAAGTATCAAAATTAGTTGTTTCTGAAATTTGGTTCAACAATTACAAAGTAAACTGGCCTTGACAAAAAGATGGTATCCATAACCTTTTGTTTTGTTGCACAACGTTTTGAGGAAATAACTCCAATGCAGTGATTTCTGTAACTGAGACTTCTGAACCTGTCCACCATTATTCTGGCCCACCCCTCATGAACAAACTGTTCTAGCTCAGGTTTGAAGGACTCTTTCCACAGACGTTCATCACGGTTTAGATTAGGGCTCAGGTCGACACTTCAAAATAGTCCAATGTTTGGTTCTGATCCATTCTTGGGTGTTTTTAACTGTGTTTTTGTCTCGTTGTCCTGTTACCTGCGAATGACACCATACTTTCTGACACTGGGCAGCACATTTCTCTCCAGAATGCCTTGAGACTCTTGTGGTTTCACTGGAAAGAGTTTCATTATTGGATCTATGAACATGGGACTGATGTAACCAGAGCCAAAAAGCTCCAGTTTGGTCTCATCTGTTCAAAGGACACTCTTCCTGTAGCTTTGTTGCTTTTCAATAAGGATTTTGGCAAATTCTGGTCTCAGTTTTATTTACAACTTGGTGTCTTCCTCTGCTGTCTTTTGTTAAGCCCTCTTTTGGCTCAAACAGACATCGATAATCGATGATCTGACACTGATGAACCTTAACCTTTCATCACCCTGGAAGTTGTCCTGATGCATCTCAGTAATCCAGGTAAAAAATCAAAAAGAAAAAAATTGTGTAGGTCTTCTGGACGGGTTCTTCTCTAATGAAACGTTTCGTCTCTCCTCCAATAGACTTCTTCAGTCTGAGAGTTTCAGGCAAAATTCAGGCTTTTAAGC